GCCTCTTCCCTCACTTTCTCCTCCGTCACATCCCTGCAGAGGCCAGAGGTGGCCGCGGCTGCTAGGAAGGTCCTGGGTCCCGCCTTCTTCTCCCCTCCACACCCTGTCCCCACACTCAGGCCCCACCCAACCCGGGCTCCCGGAGGCACGGCCATGCCAGTGGTGCCCACCGAGTTCCGCTGGGGCCTGGGCTACATGCCCAGGACTGTCCGGGTGGCCGGGCCCAGTGAAATAACGGAGGAGACAGCGGTCGAGCCATGTAACCCTTAACCAGGCATGTGACCAGCGCCCGAGCTGAGGGTGGGGCAGGGCAGGACTAGGAGGCTCTCAGTGCCAGGTGGGCTCTGCTCCACCCATGCGATGGGAGGCCGGGCAGCCTGTGGGACGAGTCACTCCAGCAGAGACTGAAGGAGGAGGAGAGAGCGGAGCAACAGCTCTGAGCATAGAGGCCAGGGGGCCAGTGTGTCTGGGGGGTGAGTGATAGGGGGTTCATAGGAGAGGGGTCAGAGGTCACAAAGGGCTAGGTCCCAGGGACCTCGTGGGCCAGCCCAGGGAAGTGAGCCTGAAGGTTCCTCTCTGCCTAACAGTGCAATGAGCAATCATTTCACACCAGATAGTGCTGAGTCACCATTCACACCAGATTGTGCTAAGTCACCATTCACACCGGATTGTGCTGAGTCACCATTCACACCAGATAGTGCTGAGTCACCATTCACACCAGATTGTGCTGAGTCACCATTTCACATGCATTATCTCACAGTACCCTTACAAAATCCTAGGGAACGGGGTCTGTACTATCTCTAATGACCAAGAAGGAAACTGAGGCTTTAGGACATTAAGGGGCCAGGTGCTCAAGGCCATGTGGCAAAACCCTGCTTCTGGTTCAAGGTGGCTGGCTCCTGACCCCAGGCTAGATGGCCTGGGAGTTCTCAGGCTCCATTACATCAAAGCCAGGAGGGGTGACACTGGGAGTGTGGGGAGTTGTGTCAGGGTGTTCTCCCCATGGGGGGTCATTCTGTGTATGTGTGTGTGTGTGTGTGCATGTGGGAGTGTGTGTGTGAATGTGGGTGAGAGCAGGCATGTGTGTGTGTCAGTGTGTGTGTGTGTGTGAGTGTAGGTGTGTGCTGTGTGCCTGTGTGTGTGAGTGTGGGTGTGTTCATGTGAGGGTATGTAAGTGGGTGTGTGCCTGTGTGTGTGTGTGACTGTGGGTGTATGCATGTGTGTGAGTGCTGGTGTGTGCATTGGGGGGTGTAGGTGTGTATGGGTGTGTGAGTGGCTGTGTGCGGGGGGTGGTGAGTGTGGGTGTGTGCGTGTGAGGGTATGTAAGTGGTGTGTGCCTGTGTGTGTGTGTGTGGGTGTATGCATGTGTGTGAGTGCTGGTGTGTGCATTGGGGGGGTGTGGGTGTGTGTGCGTGGCTGTGTGTGAGGGGGGGTGAGTGTGGGTGTGCGTGTGTGTGTGTGGGTATAGGTGTGTGAGTGGGGGTGGTGTATGTGTGTGAGTCTGTATGTGTGTGAATGTGTGGTGGTGAGTGTGTATATCCACGCATGTACCCCTCAAGGAAAACTGCTGACGGGATGAGGGTGGGCCCGGGCCCCTCTGCACCCTGGCAGAGCCGGGTCCCCGTCCCTCAGGTGCTGGGCCCCACGTCCAAGGGCCTCTCAGCCCCGCGAAAGGGGGTGTGGGTGTGTGCGTGTGAGGGTATGTAAGTGGTGTGTGCCTGTGTGTGAGTGCTGGTGTGTGCATTGGGGGGGGTGTGTGCGTGGCTGTGTGCGAGGGGGGGTGAGTGTGGGTGTGCGTGTGTGTGTGTGGGTATAGGTGTGTGAGTGGGGGTGGTGTATGTGTGTGAGTCTGTATGTGTGTGAATGTGTGGTGGTGAGTGTGTATATCCACGCATGTACCCCTCATGGAAAAATGCTGACGGGATGAGGGTGGGCCAGGGCCCCTCTGCACCCTGGCAGAGCCGGGTCCCCGTCCCTCAGGTGCTGGGCCCCACGTCCAAGGGCCTCTCAGCCCTGCGGGCAGCCACCTCCCGTACCGGCTCTGACAGCGGCGGCCATCCCGGGTCCAGGACCCGCATCTCCGGACCTCAGTCCCCTAGAGACGTCCCTGTGGCCCCAGCGCCTCTGCAGCTCCCGCGGTGGGAGCAGGTGGTGGGGACCCGGCATGCCAGGCTCCCAGGCCCAGGCACCTTTCCAAGCTCAGGGGGTAGCAGCCACAACGAGGCACTGACACCGCCCGTCCAGGGTCAAGGGCACAGCGACGGCCGCTTGTTTCGTCCAGCCAGGCCTGAGCCGAGCACGGCCTCCCCCTCCCCGAACTGGGCGGGACCTGAGGGTATTTATAGATGGTCCCGAGCCTCCCCAGGGGCAGATGTGATTCCGTGGGCAGCCTCTTCCCTTGAAAATGCCTGCCCTGCCCGCGGCCAGGAAGGCCGAGCGGCTCATATAAATAGATGCTGCGATGGGAGGCGCCATAATCCGGGCCGGCGCCCGCTAGGTGGCCTGCCGTCAGGC